GATCTTAAAAGTTTCTTAGCTGAGCTGTTTCTAATTTAAACACTGCAATTACCGGCACTGTAGAATCAATGATAGAATCAGAATTGATGAATATACAACATGATATATTATTTTATTTAAAATATTTCTTCTGGACACACAAGTGGCCAACAAACATATGAAAAAATTGCTCGACATTACGAATCATCGGAGAAATGCAAATCAAAACCTCAATGAGATACCATTTCACACCAGTCAAAAAGGCTATTATTTAAAAGTAAAAAAATTAATGGAGGTTGGTAAACTTAAGAAGAAAAGGGAATGCTTACACACTGTGGGTGGGAATGTTAATTAGTTCAGCTACTGTGGAAAACAGTTTAGAAATTTCTCAAAGTGAGGCAGGGCAGGTGAGCCCCAAAACTGGGGCTTAGCCTGGGAGGGTTCTTAGCTTCACCCAGGAAAGAATTCAAGGGTGAGCCTGTGGTGTTAGACAGCAGCTTTTATTGAAGCAGCAGTATTCAGCAGCAGCGGGTGTACTGCTCCTTGCAGAGCAAGGCTACTGTATAGGCAGTGTGCCCAGAGTAGCAGCTCAGAGGTAGCTCTACCGTTACATTTATACCCACTTTTAATTATATGCAAATTAAGGGGCAGTTTATGCAGAAAGTTTTAGGAAAAGAGTGGTAATTCCAGGTTGTCAGGTTGTTGCCATGGGAAACGGTGGTAACTTTCAGGTGTTGCAATGGCAATGGTAAACTGACATGGCACACTGGTGGGTGTGTCTTCTGGAAAGCTGTCTTCACCCAGGCTCTGTTTTGGCTAGTCCTAAATTTGGTTCAGTGTTCAAGCCCCACCTCTGGAGTCGAGTCCCACCTCCTGCCTCAAAAAAACCAAAAACAGAATTGCCATTTGACCCAGCAATTCCATTCCTGGGTATATACCCAAAGGAAAATAAATTGTTCTGTCAAAAAGACACCTAGACTTGTATGTTCGTCACAGCACTCTTCACAATAGCAAAGACATGGACTCAACCTAGGTGCCCAGCAATGGTGGATTATAAAGAAAATCAGTACACTGGCATCATAAAATACTATGCAGTCACACACACACAAAAAGAACAAAATCGTGTCCTTAGCAGCAACATGGATGCAGATGGAGGCCATTATCCTAAGTGAATTAACGCAAGAACAGAAAACCAAATTCCACATGTTCTCACTTAGAAGTGGAAGCTAATAAGTGGGGGTATTGGGTACACCCAGACATAAGATGAGAATAATAGACACTGCACCAGGGACTCCAAAAGGGGAGAGGAAGGGAGGGGGACACAGGTTGAAAAATTACCTATCAGGTACTATATTCACTATTTGGGTGACAGGATACCTCAGCATCATGCAATATATTCATGCAATAAACCTGGACATGTACCCCTTGAATCTAAAATGAAAGATTAAAAAAATACTTCTTCTGCATTTTCCTTAATGTTTATACAAAATGTATCATGAAAAACAGATTTCTATTTTTATATTTACCGTTGCTAAACAAATACTTTAGTTAAGCATTTCCAAATTCATCATAATAAAGTAGAAAGGATTTTAAATAGAATAGATACGGATTCTAACAACTCTGATTACTATCTCTGTGACCTCAGACAAGTTACCTAACCTCTCTGAGGCTGGAATTTCTTTTCTCTAAAACAAAAATAGCACATTTTACTTCCTAGGATTAGTATAAAGGTTTTTAAAAAATATATTATGTAGGGGGAAAGGGAGATTATGTTGTGTGCCTGGTCCTCAAAAAAGATTAGTTATACGACTCCTTCCTAAGAAAAATGCTATTAGTAGGCTGAAAGTCCTTAGTTTAAACCAAAAGTTGACCACTTGAACAAAAATATTTAAAACAATGCACATTATTAAGATATTGCTATAAAGTTCATAAAACTAAGAAATGTTATACTATGTAAAAACATAACACATTAACCTATTCAAATGAAAGTATTTTCTCCTAGTTGTAAAAGTAAACACTTAAAATACAATTCTAGAGTCAATTATGAGAGATTTCTAAGGTACTATGAAGGCCTCTGCTTTTCTTAATTAGCAAAGGAATGAGAGTGGTAGGGAACACATCTATTTTGTGTATTGCTGCGTATCTAGCAGTTCAGCAGAGTGCCTGGTCATAGTAGGTGCTAAATGAATATTTCTAGAGCGGGTATATAGAAAGCATACAAATTTTCGAATCAGAGAGATTTGGTTTGAATCACTGCCATATAGTGGAATAATATTAATAATATCTACCTCTAAGGGTTATTAAGAGGATTGAAATAAGTATGAAAAGCACCTGACACATGTATTAAGATATATTTCCCTTGGGAGGCTGAGACAGGTGGATAACCTGAGGTCAGGAGTTCAAGACCAGCCTGGTCAACATGGTGAAACCTCGTTTCTACTAAAAATACAAAATTAGCCGGGTGTGGTGGTACATGCCTGTGATCCCAGCTACTCGGGAGGCTGAGGCAGGAGAATTGCTTGAATCCCGAAGGCAGAGGTTGCAGTGAGCCGAGATCGTGCCACTGCACTCCAGCCTGGGCAACAAGAGCAAAACTTCATCTAAAAAAGAAAAATATATATATATATATATATTTCCCTTAGTGCTGTTCATACTTTTGCTAGTTTCATAATATCACATGTTAAGGTCAAATGAAAATAGTACTCCAAATGACCAGACTAGTAAATTGCCACATGTATTCTACCTGTATAGAAAGAGATCGTATATGTAGTAAAATCATACTTAATAAATCTTTGGCTGCTATAGCATCAGGGCAGCCAAATTGTTCAGGAAAAGCAATTCCTGCTTCAAGGCTGTTTAAAGAAGGCTGCATTACTTGTTCAGTTTTCCTGCACGTGCCTTTCGGTTGCCTTTTTAGCTAGTGACCCTGGATTTTAGCTAATGAACTCCAGCTGTTCTTATTTTGCCTTCCAGCCCTTCTCATTTAACCTCCTGTCTCCCTGGTCTCACATCCTTAAAGTTCTTACAGGAAAAATGGGACAGTGCCAAAGTTTCCAAATGAAGCCTCATATCTTCTTGAGGGGAGAGGGCTCTTTTAACAAGGGCTCCAAGCTTTTATAGTGGTGTAAAAAGAAACATTCATTGTTGGAAATTGGATTCCTAACAACCTCCAATGTGTCAGAAATCCTCTTGTGGTTTTTAATATTACACAAGCAAAGCATTGGGTAAGGTAAGTCCATAAAACAAACCAAGAAAGTCCACAGTTGACTACTAAATGTAATTGTAAACACCTGTGATGGAGAGGCAATTCCTCTGTAAATATGCAATGAAAGAAACATTTAGCATACAGAACAAAACGGATCCAGCTTTTCTGAACCATGCTGAGAACCATCTGTTAGCAAACCTGGCAAAAGGTTTCACTGTTACAGTTAAATGTCAACCTGAAAAACTTGGCTGTGGGCAATATCTAAGCAAAACCAATCTTAAGCAATTGACAAACTCAAGCTCACAAAGGAGACCTTCCTCTTATGCAGGTGACCTGGGAATTTCTATTATGTTCACAAATACTCTTTAACCTACCCATACATCTCTTTCCAAATCTGATCATCCTTTCATGGAGACCATTAATAAGTACATTAGTTAATGCAGTTTCCATTACATTAAACATTTAAAACCATGCCTTCTCCCAGAATGCACCTGATCCTACCAGGATGAATCTCTGGCTAAACCAATAGCGCATTTGGCCTTCCAATTAAATTCAAAATGATGTATTTCCCAGGGGCTCTGAAAGACTTTTGAAAAGGATATCAAATTCAGTTATAAACTCATTTTCCAAATTGCTTTTTCCATGCCTGTTTGCATAACCCATCCTTACAAGCTCAGTTCAAAATCTACTTACTCCATCAGTCACACTGAGACTAACTTGTTCTCTAAAATCTTAGTTTATGTCTTTTATACACTTGTGACTTGAATCATGTGCTCTGTTAAGACTACAAATGACAGAACAAAGGTATGGGTTTCTCTTCTTATCCTTCACAGCATCCAGCAGCATAATCTGCATATAGCATGTGCTTAGTAAAGAACAGAAAATAAGTAGTTAAAAGTGGGAGAAAATAAGGCCAGGGAAGTGCCATTTCTCTGGGATTTTGCTGAAATGTATAGCAATCCTATCATCATCTTATTTCAAATGGTTCATGCAATAAAGGTTGATAAATTATATTTTTAACGATTCATTTCACTATGTTGGTTTCTTGATGTTTATATTATAAAGTATTAGTTATCTTGATGGTAAATAAGACATTACCCAGGAAAAGAAGAATGGAATAATAATGGTCAACATTTGTTAAACTCTGAAAAATGGACTCTGTGATAAGTGCTTTATATACATATTCTTGTTGAATCCTCATAACAACTCCATGAAATAGGTACTATTATTATCCTCTTTCTGCAATAAACTGAGTCATAAATAGTTAAAGTAATCTACCCAACATCATACCACTAGTGATTGGTGGACCTATGCTTCAAACCCAAGTCCATTTGACAGCAGGTTCCTCACCGATTTGCTATACTGCCCAGGGCACAGACAATGCAGGCAGAACACTGAAAATGCATACCTTCTGGAAAATCTCCAGGTGCTAGCTAACAACATGTTATGTTCAGGCAAATTTCCCAGTAAGAATTTGTGTGATTATATATTTTCTCTTTTATAGGAATTTTCTGAGGTTATATAGGTATAGCCTTAGTACCTAGCATGAGGCCAAACACATGGAAAGTATTAGTAATTGCTCAGTGAATTCATAGTTTCGGTCAAGTGATATAATAGTTTTAAATCTCAATTTCCTCAAACTTAACTAATAAAATAGCAGTGTAAATGCTCTTGAAAAACGTGTATGAAAAATAAAAATGTAATTATAGTATTCCAGAAGAATCAAAACTAGATGCTGAATGGATCAATACAATAAATTTTTTACCAAATCAAGGAGTCAAAACAGATCTATTGGGTCCATTTCTGCTGTTCTTACCTTCTCGGATAGCTGTAAATGGGACTCCTTCTTCTGCATTCATGCTGATGACTTTTAAAGCCACTAGTTGTCCATTTATTCTAGAAAAGAGGGATTGAGAAGCACACACTTATTGAGGTGGTTCTAAGCAGCAATTTATACCAAAGATCAAACAAAAGCAGTTTCACTTCAAAACATATTGTAGCATATAAATCTATAATTTTCTCAAAATAAAAAGTTTAGCATATATCAATACATATATAACATATATATTCCAAAGCATTTTCCCTCTTTACTAAAGTGATACATGTATGTCCATTATAGAAAATTTGGAGCTTATTATTTTTCATCTGACTTATTGTAGTGTTTTGTTTTTTGTTTGTTTGTTTGTTTGTTTTTGAGACAGAGTCTTGCTCTGTTGCCCAGGCTGAAGTGCAGTGGCACGATCTCGGCTCACTGCAACCTCCACCTCCCAGGTTCAAGCAATTCTCCTGCCTCAGCCTCCAAGTAGCTGGGATTACAGGGGACCCCCACCATGCCTGGCTAATTTTTGTATTTTTAGCGGAGATGGGGTTTTGCCATGTTGGCCAGGCTGGTCTCAAACTCCTGACCTCTGGTGATCTGCCCACCTCAGGCTCCCAAAGAGCTGGGATTACAGGCACGAGTCACCATGCCCAGCCTTGTAGTGGTCTTCTGACAGTTTCCCTGCTGAGACACTTGCACTCCTACTATTTATTCTCAGCAGAGTAGTTGGAGGCATGCTTTTAAAATGACCATCAGGACAAGTCACTTTTCTGTTCAAAAACCACCATATCTCCATGCATTACTCAGAATAAAAGCCAAATTCTTGCAGTGGGCTTCTAGGTGCTACCTGATCTTCCCAGGTCACACCACTATCTCTCTCTCTCTTCATTTCCTCCTACTGTCCCTTCATTCGTCATTTTATTCATTTATCAGCTAAGTGCCTAGAATAGAGAAGATTTTAATGCAGATATAAATCCATTGTTTTTAATACAGTGGGATTAAAATCATATTGTTAGTAACCTTTTTTCCTCCATGTAACTTTTCTCTTATAGTTCATTCTTGTATGATCCAATATGTAATAATGATTTAACATTTAATCATATAAATATACTATACTGTATTTAGCCAATTTCAAAAGCCTTTTCGTTGTTTCTAGCTTTGGGCTATTACAAAAATACTGTGATGATCATACTTGCTGATAAATCTTTTCAGAAAACCCCAGTTATTTCCTTAAAGTAGTGGCAGAATTGCTGATTCAAAGGGTACGCAATGCGTGTGTTTTTATTGATTTGCACTCGTGTTCCCAAACTGTCCCACGGAGTAATGGTACACTAACCGGTCATGAGAATGGCCATTCTCCCGCTCCCTCACCAACATGGGGCAGGTTTTGTTTTGGGGGCTTTTGGACTTCACTTTTTAGAACAGTCTTAGATTTATAGAAAAATTGAGAATGCAGTACAGAAAGTTCCCACATATCTCCCATCTAGTTTCCTCTATTGTTAATATCTTACATTAATATATGTTTGTTATAATTAATGAACAAATATTGGCACATTATTACTAACTAAAGTCCATAGTTTATTAGGATTTCTTTAGTTTTTACCTAATGTCTTTTTTGTTTTTGGTCCAGGATCTCATTCAGGATTACATTTAGCTGTCCACTTTCTTTGTTTCTGATGACCTCGAGAGTTTTGAGGAGTACTAGTTAAGTATTGGGTAGGATGCCCATCTCTTGGAACTTTTCTGATATTTCTCTTATGATTAGACTGGGTTATGGGTTTGGGGGAGGTAAAGTACCGTTTTTATCACATCATATTAAGAGTGCATACCATCAGCCAGGCGTGGTGGCTCACACCTGTAATCCTAACACTTTGGGTGGCTGAGGTGGGTGGATCGCCTGAGCTCAGGAGTTTGAGACCAGCCTGGGCAACATGGTGAAACCCCGTCTCTACTAAAATACAAAAAACTAGCCGGGTGTGGTGGCATGCGCCTGTAATCCCAGCTACTCAGGAGGCTGAGAGAGGAGAATCGCTTGAACCTGGGAGGTGGAGGTTGCAGTGAGCTGAGATCACGCCACTGCACTCCAGTCTAGGAAACAGAGCAAGACTCCATCTGAAAAAAAAAGAGTGCATACCATCATCATGATTTATGACTTTTGATGTTGACCTTAATCACCTGTCTGAGACAGTGTTGGTCAGGTTTCTCTACTATACTCTTTCTCTCCCTTTTTCATACTGTACTTTTAGAGAAATGCCACTATGAATGACCCACACTTAAGGAGTGGAGAGTTATGCTGTACCTCTTTGAAGGTATATTATCTACATAAATTATTTGTATTTATTTGGCATGAAAGATTTGTTTCTTATCTCCCATTTGTTAATGTATTGAATAATTTGTTTATATCAGTATGAACTCATAGATATTTATTTTATACTTTGGGTTATAATTTAATACCACTTTTTTTGGTTGCTCAAATTTTTGCAGCTTTGTCCTTTGGAAGTTCTTTCAGTTGGCTCATGTGTCCCTCTGAGATAGCCCTATCATGTGGGTTTGCTTTTTGCTTTCATCTTCATTTTTTTGGCCTATTTGAAAGGTAAAAAGGTTTATCACATTTCAATTTACATTTCTTTAACCATATGTGGAACTGACTTTTCATACGTTTATGGATCTTTTCTGTTTTTCTTGTGATTTGCTGATTTGCCCACCTTTTTATTGAACTATTTTGCACATACTTTTCCCCAGTTTCTTTTGTTTGCCTTATCATGTCTTTTAAATTTTGTTTAAAAGTTTTATGATGTATTTTCCTCAGAACATGGTTCCGTGAAATTCTCCCCTAAACCTTGCAAAAAGTTTTTTGGCAAGTATGTTTATAAGAGAAAATGCTTTATACCTTTTTTTTTTTTTTGAGACAGAGTGTCACTCTCGCCCAGGTTCGCGTGCAGTGGTGCTGATCTCAGCTCACTGCAACATCGCCTGCAAAGTTCAAGTGGTTCTCCTGCCTCAGCCTCCTGAGTAGCTGGGACTACAGTTTTATAAATAAGGTAACAGTTGAACCGGGAATCTGACGGAGGGGAGGAGTCAGCTGTGTGCATGAACAGTGGAAGGCAGCTCCAGGCAGAGGGAGCAGCAAGTTAAAAGTCCTTGACTGAGGCAGGAGCAGTCCTGGCATTGGAGCAGGAGAGGCGAAGGAGAGATGAGGACAGAGAGGAGCTGAGTGTGTGCTGGGGAATGGAGGGTAGGGATTGTATAGGGTCTTGTAAATGACCATTCCAGGGACTGTTTTGTATTAGATATTCACAGGATATTTGTATTAGAAAATCTAATAGAGCAAAGATGTCAATAATTCTCTAATTTAGAGTTTTGATATATTCTAAAAATAGTCTAAAGCAACAATAATTAAAATCAAGGCTGGGTGCAGTGACTTATGCCTGTAATCCCAGCACTTTGGGAGGCTGAGGTGGGTGGATCACGAGGTCAGGAGATCGAGACCATCCTGGCTAACACGGTAAAACCCCGCCTCTACTAAAAAACTACAAAAAATTAGCCGGGCGTGGTGGTGGGCACCTGTAGTCCCTAGTCCCAGCTACTAGGGAGGCTGAGTCAGGAGAATGGCGTGAACCCGTGAGGCAGAGCTTGCAGTGGAGCTTGCAGTGAGCCGAGACGGCGCCACTGCACTCCAGCCTGGGCAACAAAGCGAGACTCCGTCTCAAAAAAAAAAAAAAAAAAAAAAGGGCAGCACAAATATAAGAAAAGATAGATTAAGGAAACATGATTTTTTAAAAGATTAAAACAGAAACAATTTCAAGTAGTCATGAGATCTAATATGTAATCATGGCAGCATTTCAAACCATCAGAGAAAAGAAAATCTAATAAATGGAGCTGGGATGATTGTGAATATACAATATAAATTCCCAATAGATGAAAGAGTTAAATGAAAAAGAAAACATACAGTAATTAGAAAAAAAGATAAGTGAATTCTGTGTAAACTTTGGGCTAGAAAGGTCTGTTTGTGTGGAACAAAGTCAGAACTCAGAAGGGAAGATCAGAAGTGTTCTTGGTACCCATGTATCCAAGTATGTTCCAGGGTTCCCCAGATCTGAGCCATCTTGAAACAGTTACCATGGCCAAACTGATATGAGGAACCTTAGAATAAAATCAAATGTGGTTTTTTATTGCAGATGTTCTCAGCATTAAAAAAAGTTAATATACACCATGACTAAAACAGATTAAGAAAGTATAAAGGGCCAGGGGCAGGAGAATCGCTTGAACCCAGGAGGTAGAGGTTGCAGTGATCTGAGATCGTGCCACTGCACTCCCTGAGTGACAGAGTGAGATTCCATTTCAAAATAAATAAATAGATAAATAATAAAATAAAATTGTATGTCCCCTACAATCTTGTTTTAACAAGTAAAAATAATAATAACAGCATAAATACTAAGATAAATAATGAATATTTAGTCTCGTAGTAGTTATATAAAATTTTTCTTTTTTCTTTTTTTTGTTTTTGGCCAGTTAAATGAAGCAGTGGGAGTGGAGAAGGAACAAAGAAATCTGTAGCTGGTTGTGATCAAGTAGTAAATACCACTGCACTTGGATCAGCTATATTTTTAAAATTAATATTTAACCACTATTGAGCCGTTATTTTTATCTATTGGAGTAACATAAAGAAAAAAACGACCTTCCAACTTTCCCACCTTGTCTAAAAGACAAGGGAATTCATGGATCTTTTATATATATTTAACAAAGTTTGTTGTTTACCAAAATTAGTACTTAGCTTTTGGATAAGCAGTATTTTTATTCTCCAGACATTTTGTATATTTTGCAAGTATAAAAAATCTAGGATTCATCATCTTTTGCATGTACCATAATTTGCAGAAACCAACTCCAATTTCTTCTATAAAGGCCAGGTGGAGGAATGAAGCAGCAAACTCCAGGTTGCCATTACAAACCTCTGTCATTGTGATTTAGGGAGGGATATAAAAAACCTGTTAGAGACGCTTTACCAACTGTGCCTCCCACCGGCCTGAAGAGTGGTAATTGTTCTTTGGGTCAGTAGTAGAGAATGTCTATTTTCTTTGAATTCTCTGAATTGAATGCAAGAAGGGAAAGGCTGATAAACATTTAAATGGGCTGATTTTAATTAGGGCAGGGCAGGTTTGTTTTTCTTTCAAGGCTGTTTAAGTCATCATGTCTCTCTCCCTGTCGGCCATGGTGTCTTGCCCAGGTCCTGAGTGCTATGAACCTCTATGATGTCTCACCTGGCTTTATAATGTGAAATTAAGGGGGCAGGACCCTCATCTCTAAAGTGTATCCCAGCTATGTGTCACTCACCTGCTAATCCCCTTGTAAACTGTAGCATAAGAGCCTTCACCCAGCTTCTCCAAGTTCAAGTAAGATGAGGCTGCTCCAAAAGGGAGGCTCTTCCTCTGCTTTAGGGGAATGGGGAAAAGGAGTGGGTGAAAGGGAAGAGAGAAAGAGCACTTTTTTTTAGTGTTGACTTTTTTCTCCAGGGAAATTAGACAGCATTTCCAGAGCAGACTTGGGAAGGCTCGCTCAGTAATTGCCCTGGACATAAGGGCCGGCCTCCCTAGACAAGCACACATTAAATTCTTCTTGATCAACATCAGCTGCTCACTCACCCACTGAAAACTCTGCCTCAGATCCTCTTCCTGAAAAGAATCACTGTTACTCCGTGGCCTTTTACTCTTGAACTTCTGGGCACGGACATCCTGACGTCCCCTGGGGTGAAATGAAGTCATGGAACATGATGCTTCTTTTAGGTCTGTTAGCTAGAGAAAAAAGAAAGAGCAGAAATAAAATTTATGCAAAGTAAAGATTCAGTGCCTGGTAAAACAATTTTTCTTTATTTGCCTCATTTTCACTCTTCACATGTTTTCTAAGCTTCCTGTACCCCCAAAAGGCACTTTTCTTGAAAGATCCCTGAAAAAGACCATAATAGTATCAACTCCTGAAATACTACATTCTTTCTTCACCTAAAAATATGTCTTTAACATTTAGGTTAACCTAAATCTCTTTGATGGATGTTTTCCAACTTTTTTCTGTGTAACTCTGGCTTTTTTTTTTTTTTTTTTTTTTTTTCTTTCCACTTTATTTATTGCTGTGGGGGAATAATCTACTACTGCTTTGCTAATAATCATGAACTAATTACTAAAGTTTCGAATCCATAGCATATCAACTAATACTGCAGCCTGCCTTTTAAATCTCAGCTCTGTAATTTAGGACCTTAGAGATTTCGAGAGAACTACTTCAAGCCAAGTGAGTTTCGTGCAACCCAAAGCCAAGGATTATTTTTCCCTTTTGGTTTACAAGAAATTCTCCAAATTTGATAACTACAGCCATAAATTTTCTGTGACTTTAATAGAATTTTCATTTTATTGGTTTAGACCTACCGCAGAAGAATCAGACCCTGCTACAAAAAGGGAGTGTCTGAACTCCTTGGTTTATCAATAGAGAAAGACGCTCTCCTCCTGGGATACAAATACCTTGAACGCAGCCTCCATGGTCTCAGGCTGACTCCTCCGACAGCTGTGTGCCTCGCCTCCCTCTGAACAACGATAGCAGCTGCATCCAGGCTGTACAGTCTTTGCACACAGCTCTTGACCCATAATCTTCTAGGTTCAAGGAGAAAACCCGCACTTGAACCTTTCCCCCACTGCCTCTCCTATCCTTGTTCTCTCCCTTTTTGCCAGAGGTCAGCAGTGTGGAGCTTTCATATGACTCACATGATGACTCTGCCTGGAGCAGCCTCACAACTTCAGCAGTTTTTCCTTATCAGTGCGAGAAACTCCACATCAGACAGGGATTGCTTGCATTCAGATGTGCACAACTGAAAACGAGGCAGCTGCTATTGAATAGAATAAAATTTGGCACAGTTAAGGTTCTTGTTCTGGCCACAAGTTAGTGCTATTGGTATATATAGTTTTTAGGGATTGACATTGCTTATCGATGTAATGATATTTATATGATATCATTGATAGTGATATTGATATTAGGTTTTCCTGGTGCTAGAGTGGACATGTTGAAGACTATTTTTCTCCCTGCCTTTTATCTGAAAGCATTTTGGTTTTCAGACTTTAAAACAAATTTTATACCTAGCTAACTTTTAGTAGTCATAGAAACCACAGAATCATAAGACAGGAAAAAAGTTGAAGATATCTACTCTATCTCTTTGCCTTCAAACAACAGTGTATCCAATAGTCTTAGAAGGGCTGCCATTCATTCATTTATTCAAAAACTATGTGGTGAGTGCCTGTGTTGTTCTTAACTATACAAATGATGATATTAGCCAATGGTGATGGAGAGAGAGGAGTTTGAATGAAATACTTTCTTCTTTTCTTGCTTCCTTACACATATATGTAATTAATGTTTACTATATGTAAAGTACTATAATAATAGCACGACATGTCAAGGAACCTGGCTCAAATTGGTTTGCAGTCTGTAGTCTTCAAATGCAACATTTTTCTCTGTTAGATTCCTAAGATTATTGCCACTATAATGTACTAATCATAGAGTGAGACAGAATGGAAGATATATAAACATTCAATCATTATTAAGGGAAAAAATAAGAGTCATGTCTATCATCACAACATTAATTACGAATATTTGATATTTGAACCTCATGATGGTTTTTTAAAATGTTCAGGTAATTTAATTATGAGCATGTATTTTTTCATTTCAAAATTGCCACAAGAGACTTAAGTCAATTCCAAGATTCAATCTAGAGATATTTTGTGAGAAAAAAAAAAAAAAAGAAGAAAAGGAGCAATACTTGGCTCAAAGACCATTAAACTTGTTTTATCTTTTTTTTTTTTTTTTGAGATAGAGTCTCGCTCTGTCACCCAGGCTGGAGTGCAGTGGCGTGATCTCAGCTCACTGCAACCTCCACCTCCTGGGTTCACGCCATTCTCCTGCCTCAGCCTCCTGAGTAGCTGGGACTACAGGCACCCGGCACTGCGCCTGGCTAGCTTTTTGTATTTTTAGTAGAGATGAGGTTTCACCATGTTGGCCAGGATGGTCTCAATCTCCTGACCTCGTGATCCACCCACCTTGGCCTCCCAAAGTGCTGGGATTACAGGCCTGAGCCACCGCGCCCAGCCAAAGACATTAAACTTTTGACTGACAACTGAGAGACTGAGAAGCTAGTTTCTCAGAATATTTAATTCCATTTGAATTTATAATAATGTAATTATAATACATTTTATCAGAAATGCTCATTTCTTCCTAAAAGATTGTTAATTTCATCACATAAAAGTTATGTCCCAGGTCAAGTCTATGACGACTGTTCTTGCATTTTTGTTTTTGGAAACAGAGTCTCCCTCTGTCTCCCAGGCTGGAGTCCAGCTGGGCGATCATCGTTCACTGTAGCCTCAGCCTCCTGGGCTCAGTGATCCTCCCACCTCAGCCTTCCGAGTAGCTAGGACTGCAGGCCTGTGCCAAGACAACCAGATAATTATTTTTTGTAGACACAGGGTCTCACTATGTTGCGCAGGCTTGTCTTCAACTCCTGGCTTTCAAGAATTCCTCCTACCTCAGTCTCCCAAATAGCTGGAACTGGGGGTGCACACCACCAAGCCTGGATAATTTTTTAATTATTTGTACAAACAGAGGTTTCACTATGTTGCCCAGGCTGGTCTCCAACTCCTGGGCTCAAGTGATCCTCCTGCCTCCCCAAGTGCTGGGAATACACACGTGAGCCACAGCACTGGCCTACAGTCTGGTTAATTAAAGGTGTAAATTGCTATGTTTAGATACTAGAATGAGCTACTTCTTTTTTTTCTTCCAGAGACAGGGTCTTGCTTTCTTGCTCAGGCTGGAGTGCAAGAGCTATTCACAGGTATGCACTGCATACCTGCCAGAACTCCTGAGCTCAAGCAATCCTCCCACCTCTGCCTCCCAAACAGCTGAAACTACAGGTATGTGCAACCAGACTGGCTTTACGGTCTTGTTTAAAGCCAAGGAAAAATATCTGATGACTTTTTAAGATATTTTCTTGCTGTGTCAGAAATAGCTTTTGTTCTGAAAGATTTCTGAAGGACAGAAGACTTAGACGATTTCATTTAGCATTGTGCATTAGGCTGTTTGTGAACCACTCCAGATTGGCTTGGCTGCACCTCGTTTAGCAGCCTGGTTGCCATCATAGCAACAGAGGCCATTTCTGGGGTCTTGAAGCACACTCATTGTTGCTGCTACCTCCTCCCATCATAGGACAAGGAACCCCAACACGTGAAGCTGACTGACCAGGAGAGACCCTTGTGCTTGCCCACCAGCCTAAACAGACCAAGAGCCAGAGAGTCTCGGGCTTCTCTAGCAACGGCTTGCAAGGGCCAGGTGATACAACCAGAACTGCAGGAAGTTCCATGGAGTGCGGTTCCACCATTGGGAAGCCAGAGATGTTGTGGAGTTGAGATCAGCTCAGAAACATGCTCCATTTTGAGAGTGTTGCTTGAGCCTGGGAATTTGAGGTTGCAGTGAGCTATGATTGCATCATGCATTTCATTCTGGGCAAAAGAGTGAGACCCTGTCTCAAAAAAAAGGGGGAGAGAGAGAGATGAAAGGTGAAAGAAAGAAAAAAAAGAAAGAAAGGGAAAAAAACTTCCATTTATAAGGTTGATGCAAAAGTAATTACAGTTTTGCCATTACTTTCAATGACAAAAACCACAATTACTCTTGCACCAACCTAATAATCCTAATATTTGCTCTCTCCTTCTCCTCACTTCTACTTCCCTAAGATTGCACAAACTGCCCCTACAACCCCACCCCTTTTACCTCAGGCTCTGTTTTCAGGGAATTTGTGTTAAGACAAATGGTAGCCACTTTTTAATTGGCAGTAAAAATTTTAGGTTACTGATCGTTTCAGGCTAGCTTCTCCACTCACCACATTTTTGGAGTTATTTTTCCCTTCTCAAGTGGTGTAAATTCAAACTACTATGTTTAGTTAACAGTTGCCATTTTTTCCAATCTTTGCATTCTATCTTTATTAAATTTAGCCAAATATAACATTTCTAGAATATGTTGATTATCACGGCATTCAACAGATAATATGAGAAATAATGTAAAATCTGTTATAAACATTGAAAGTAATTCATATATGTCCACAATGGAGTAATTACACAATGGAGTAATATGCAGCTGTTAAAAGGAAGGAGATTTATATATAATGACATGGAGTGATGACCAAAATATATTGTTAAGTTAAAAAAGCAAAATGCAGAACAATATCTGGTGGCAAAGAAATGAAGGGAGATAAAGTATAGTCAGGGCCAGGCATGGTGGCTCACAACTGTAACCTCAACATTCTGGGAGGCCAAGATCGGAGGATTGCTTGAGCCCAGGAGTTGGAGACCAGTCTGGGCAACATAGTGAGACCCCATCCCAAAAAATAAAAATAACAAATAAAAAAAGTGTAGTAGTAATCTTACCAATAGTAGCAATATTATTACTATTATTTTAAATCTATTATAGAGGAAAAAAGATTTCTCACCCATCTTTAGGTTCATGGATGACATCCATATACCAATAGACAGATTAACAAGAGAAAAGCACACAAATTTATTTAATGCAAGTTTATACAACACAGGAGCCTTCAGAAATGAAGACCCAAACAAACAGGGAAATCTGTATTTTTATGCTAAGCTTGATGAAGAAAAGTAGATAATTGTGAAGAAACATGATTGGAGGACAAAAGGGTCTGATCTAATGGTAAGAAACTGGGGAGAACTTAGCAAGACCTGTTTATTATTCTTGGCATCTCCGTGTCTTCAGGGATAATGATATTCCTTTTTACAGGGTATAGGAAACTTATCTCTGGAGTTGAGGTCTTATGACCTACTTTAGAGGGAAGTCAGTTAGATTTTATGACCTGCTTTAAGGGAGAAGGGATGAGAGGAAGATGGGAAGATGAGAATGACTTTCCTGCTTCTGCTGTTTTCTCAAATACCAAGGTGCCATGCTTGGGAGTAGCATATTCTGAACCCCATCATTATTATAGGCATATCTTAGGTTAAAACTGGTGAGTAATTTTGCTAATGCCATTGGAAACCAAACTTTTCAGCGTGAGAGAAAATAGATGTAAATATCAAATCAAAGAAATCAAGTAAAAATTATGTGATCTTAAATTTGACTTGGAAATTAAAACTTATGGCTTTTATTTGTTTAAAAAAAGCTCTGTCAACCAAAAAGACCTAGAAGCAATGACAACTCAATAGCAATGTGCAGCCCTACTGCTCCAATTTTGGTCTCTTAACACCATTTTCCACTAAAAAGAAAGAGCTAAACATCCGTGGAGAAATGGTGGATTCCAGATTCCAGGTCTGGAGTATGAACTCGACAAATGAGCCTGGGATATCTTTCTTGCCAGAAAGCAAGGAAGTTATCAAGAAAGATGTCCTAGGCTCATCTTAAGCCAAGTGGAGTCCTGTCAAAAGGATATGAAAGCTAACCCGAAAGGGACTCACATCGGTTGAAGACTGGGCAATTTGAGTAGCAAAAATAAGAATGACTGCAATGACACATGGAATGTATAAAATCTGTAACTTTACAGTAATTCTAAACAAAAGTGCCCACGTGAAGGTTTCCAGTTTACAAACTTATTTCTCTGAATATTAATAAAGGAGAAAAATCAAGTATTTTTTGTATTTTGTATTTTCTACATAAATTATTTTTTCAAGATTATCAAAGACTTAATGAGGGGAAATTTCTTCCTTATGGGAGAATTCCAGCTAATAAATGCAAAAGAAGGAATAGAAATACAAACATCACTATCATGGAATCTCTAATGCAATGATCTAAGAAAGCAATCATTAATGGATGCTAA